AAGGTTAGAAACTGGCGTGAAAAAAGTCAGTCTTCTAAAGTTTATGTTTTTTATGCGTTTTTTGCAGCTATGCAATGCGGAAAACGCATATTGACGAGAGATTGTCTGTGTGTGTTTGTGTGTGTATCTGTGTTTGCGCTGCGCGTCTGTACCGATTTTTCATCTCGAGACCTACAAGAGCTGCAAGGCTGAAACTTTGGGGGCTTAATCTACATTCACGTACGGGCCCCCATCCCCAAAATGGGCGGTCTTACCCGCGTGGTACCCACGTAAGAGCCCGCCAAAGTTTTTTGCGGGTAAGCTGCTAACTCGCGAATTAGAAAAGCTAGAAAGCTGAAATTTTAAGGGGATGTTCTCCATCCAACTAGTATTAATGAGTTCAAACCCAGCTCCCGGGTAAGCGTGGTACCCGCGTGCGGGCCCACCCAAATTTTTTTTGGGTAAGTTGGTAACTCGGGGATCTGAAAAGCTAGAAAGCTGAAATCTTAAGGGGACGTTCCCCGACCAAGTATATATCAATGAGCTCAAACTCAGCCCCGGGCTGTGCGTGGTACCCATGTACGGGCCTGCCAAATTTTTTTCGGGCAAGTTGATAACTCAGGGATTTGAGAACCTAGAAAGCTAAAATTTTAAGGGGTGTTCCCTGACTGATGGCCAGTTTTAATTTGTTTAGCTAAAAATATTTGCCGGGCAAACCGGTACCGGTAGCGACAAAAACTGCGGGGAACTATGCAAAAAACGCATCTTCGCACGGGCAGCCTGTGCGTTGGCCAATTATTTCTTCTGTGTAATACAAAAAAGCATATTGTAAAGCTGCGTGTGCAGGTGCGTGTGCGTGTGGGCGTGTGCGTGTGTGTGTACAATCTTTGATCTGCAGTTTGCAAAAACTACGAAGTAGAAATTTTGGCAGCTTAGTCTACTAATATTATGTACAGATCTTCCGACGCTCACGCCCTCTTAGTTTACTGCAGTTTTTCTGGTTTAGTGTTACTTTGCTACCTCTACTCATCAGGCGTAAATACGCCAAATTTTTTTCTGAGCAGCATTTTTGTTTTTTTCCCCACTTTTACCTTAATTTTTCGGTTCACAAACAAAAAGCATCCTATTTTACATTTTAGACTACTTCCGTGTTCTGTTGCAGGGTAACCAGTGGAAGTAAGATTGATGCAGCGAACGAGGAAACTTTAAAGCAAGAGCTAAAAGAGATCCACGAAGTAGCTGGGACGATTGACGAGATGAAACTGAAAATGGATGAGCTGAATAAACGTGGTAATGCACTGCTCGACCGTTATCGTGCTGACGAAGGCCATAATCTGTCACATGCTACGTCAAAGCTGAATACATTGTGGAGTAAATTTAATGATAAGTAAGTATAGGATTTTGTGTTTTTTCTTATTTTGCTGCGCACCAGTCGTCATCGGTCATTCCTGCAAATCACCAAAAATCGTTTCTTATAAAAACTTGCTTAGAGCTACTACCGTCCTATAGCTTGACCGAACGTTTGCTTGTTATAGATGAAACCTCCATGTTATGGTTTTACTATTAGGTATCACTGCGTTCGTTGCATACTTTGACCTAACAGAGCTTATTTTCAGTGTTCGTATTCGCCGTGCAGTACTGGAAGCAGCTCTTCGAGCACGAAATGATTTTCATGCAGCGCTGGAGCAGCTGGAAACGTGGATGGATGGCGTGGATGCGTCATTAACGCAACTAAACGAGGCAACATCGAATATCCAAGCACTCAAGGATTCCATCAAACGTAAGGGATGGATCGAAGATGAAAAGGTTGATATTTTTCATTCTTGCATAAGAAGCGGAACACATTTATGAACAGAAAGGAAGTAAGCAAAATTTCCCTTGAAAAACTTACGAAAAATATTGCTCATTTGTAAAATATCTTTGTTTTTGGCATTCATAGCATGTTTGTCTGAATCCATACTTCGTTTTGATGATTTTCACCTACTTAGTACGGCATATTCTTATTTTTGGTGGAAATTACCAATAATCAGCCTTTTCTTCTTACACTCTGAGAATAGGGGAGATTATTGTCGATACAGTTTTTGTGTTCAAATTGATCTTTGGTTAGACTAATTTCGATTTAAAGGAATTTCGAGGTTTCAATCTGAATACAGTTAGAGCTTTAAAGTTTGTCCACATCAGTAAGAAGATTGGTCAACGTTTTTTAAGTAGAGAGGTGTAAAAATGTGCATTATGCGTCTGGTTGTCCTTGCTCATTCTATGTTGAACATTTTCGATGCTACTGGTAGTCCCGCTGGAATGACTAATTCCATCGTTTTGAAAACATTTTCCTCAAATTTTATTTCAGTGTTAAATGTTTTTTTTTTCTTCAGTGTAAAAAATGTACATTCGGAAAGGAAATAAGAATATAAAAGATTCCATTCGTAATTTGTTGGCCCGGAAACACCTCCGCAAAATTCTTACTTGGATCAAAGGGTTGGGATCAATCGCGCATCTATCTCTGTAGGTCATCTGGAAAAGTCAAAAGTGTAGCTGGTGATAGCGTCCTCGACCAAAATTCCCCCTTTATTTTCAATTCCGTTACCTTTCTTTTCAATTCCGTTCATTGCTTCCTTACACGATTTCTGCATGTATCCCTAAATATAATTTTTAAGTATGATTCTTTATTGTTGAAATCGTAACTGTATAGTTATAAAAGAATGGGCATATTTTAAAAAAAAATTTCGATGAGCGGTACACTTTTTGACAAAGCAACTTTTTTCCATTAATTCACACGCT